TTAAGGACTCTTCCAGCATCCAGGCATCTTAGCAGAGCTTTGACCTCTGCATTTTGGCAGGATCCGCTTGGCATTTGGGGAGTAGCACCCGCTCCACAGGCACATTCCAGAAAGGCAGCAAATGAGCGGCTCTTGCCATGTTCTCCTGCAAATATCCCCCAGGATCAAGAGCCAAAGCGGCACCCGGGCTGCACGGGCGGAGAGGGAGGCAGATGGGGCTCAGTTCCCAGCTGTGGGTTGAATCCTGAATTCCAGAGGATCCGTGGAAGGATCTGTGGAAAAGTCTCTGGGCAGCTTAGCAAGGAGGAGGCCTGTTCCCATCCGGCTCCGCATCCCAGCGCGAAAGCCGTGGGTGGAGGTCTGAGCCGTAGGAATCTCGCCGGGAGGAGAAACACTCTGCTAAAAATAGCCGGGGAAAATTCCTTTCCTCCGGCCTTAAAGGAAAATCCCATCATCGGTGCAGCCGGAGCCGGCAAGGCAGCTCCGAGCGTGAAAACACGGAGCAGAGCCTCCTCTTGGAGAAGCCTCCTGTAACTGCTGCGTTACGGGCACTAGAGCTGCCCTTTTCCTAAACGGATCTTGGATATAACTCACTGACTTGGGGGGAATTTGGGTGTTCCTGCATTGCTGGGGTTTAATCATGTGCCTGGTTTTGGGAACAGCTTTGGGATGAAGCACAGGGGCTCCGGCTGGACTAGGAATCCTTCCTTCTGCTCCATGAGTTGTGCATCCGTCTGCTGGAGACAGGGCAGGGACCAGCGGCCGCAGGGCTCCGCTCGCTCCGGGCGATGCCCTAACGGCGGGAGAGCTGTCCCGAGGCTGCAGCGGGGAGGACACTGTTCCAGGACAACCCCTTCCTTTGCTCCAGGGAGCACTAAGGTTTCTGCCTGGTGCCAAAATGCAAGAGCCGCGATCGTTTCGTGGCCTCCTTGCTGAAGGAATGGGGCAGGGATGAGAACTTCCTTACCTGAAGGCCACGTTCCCTCTGCTCTGTGCCTCGCATCCCGGTCCCACGGCTTGGAATCCGCTCAGGGGCTCCCTCCCCAAATCCCAGGAGGGCCCTCCACACGTTCTCAACATGCAGACCCAGGAGCAGGCAGGGGTTGGGTCTTCGCATGGAGACACTCTTGCAGCGACATCACTTGGCTCCAAGTACATGAAATTTTCCCCTCGACAAAACTCAGGGCCTCCCAACCGCAGCAGTTCTGTTTGGCTGAAAAACACGGACTCAGGGAGGCTGGGAGCAGATGTCTGGTTCCTGTGCCCATGACTGGCAGGCCCAGGACGTGGAGGTGACCTCTTTGGAATAAGGGAAGCCCAGACCATGGGGGTGACCTTGTTGGGATAAGGGAAGCTCAGGCCATGGAGGTGACCTCACTGGGATGAGGGAAGCCCAGGCCATGGAGGTGACCTTGCCGGGTTGCTCCGCGTTCTTACAGGATGTGCCGAGATGCCCACGGGGACTGGGCTGGTGCTGATCCACCATGGGAAGGTCCCATCCAACTCTGTGGAGAAGGATCTGGGGTCCCGGTGCACCTGGGAGTCCTGGGGAACACCACGTTGACCAGGGGCCAGCGGTGCGGCCTGCACCGTCCACGGCTACGTTGGGCCGAGCTCAAAGGAGCTAATCCTGCTCCTCCGCGCCCGGAATGCTGGGACAAGACACCTGGGACAAGGAGGACACAGAGCAGCTGGAGAGAGCCCTTCGGAGGGCCACCGAGGTGGTGAGGAAGATCTGGAGCCTCTGCCACGAGGAGAGGGTGGAAGAGCCAGGGCTGTTGAGCCCCGAGGGGATGCGGAGCTGCCAGGGCTGGCGCAGGGCACGGCAAGAGCCGCGTGCTCCAAGGTTCCTTCCCACCAGGAGGACAAACAACAGGAGGACCCCGGGTTGTGCTGGTGCTCCCGGGAAGGCACCACCTGCTCTAAGTTCTTCCCTGGGGTTTGTCACAAACTTTGGTGTCGGCTCCTTGTGTTCCCCATGACCTCCAGAGGGGTGGAGAACGTCGAGCCTCCCGCTGTCATCGCTCCGTGGAGGTTTAACCATGGGTGAGGTTGCTCTGCGTGAGATTAAGCCTGGCTTAGCAGCCTCCCCAGGCCCCTCGTTGCACTGAGGACTCACTGGGGCCCTACCTGCTTCTCCAGAGCACTGACTTTGGCCCCTGACACTTACTCCTCAAGCGGTGTGTGGTTTCACAGGATCACAGGATGGTTAAGGTTGGAGGGGACCTCTAGAGATGGTCTAGTCCAACCCAGCAAGGAAGGGAGGTTGCTCCTTCCCTGCTTTGCCGAATTCCCTGTTTCCTTGGTCACTGCGAGGGACAGCAGTGGAGGTGCAGAGCAACTTCATCATATGTCTTCATCCCGTGGGAGATGTTCCATGAGTCCAGCCCTCCGTGCTCCATCAAGGCTCTGATGGGCTCCCAAATTTCATTCCAGGGAGGTGCCCACAGGTACCTCGCAGCTGCGTCGCCCTGCAAGATCTCCAGGACCTCTGCTGGGCCTGACCTTCCCTTCGCAGGGAGGTTTCATTGGGGAAGTCACAACCAAGTGGTGAGGAGCCAGTGGACAGCGAGGCAGCCTCCTCCTTAGGCCTCCTTTCTTCTCTCTCCCTTCTCTTTCCTCTCGCCCTCCGTCTCGGTGGCTTGGCGCTCGTGCCGTGGCGCTGCCTGCGCGCGCAGCCGGAGGAAGCTGCGGTTCTCGCGCTTCCTTGCTGCGCGGGAGGGGAAGCCGGCAGGTTTGCAAGGCTCCTCGCCGTGCCCGGGCCCCCCAAAACGGCCTAGCAGCCTCCCTGTGTCCTCGGGGACCTCGTCGGGGAGCCACCCAAGGACCCTTCGCTTCGGCTCCGCTCCGTGGGACCCTACATGGAGAACGAGGTGGGTCGGGGTTGCGGCGGCCCTGGGCGCCGCTCGCTCCTTCCTCCTCGGCGCCTCGCGCTCCTTTAGGCCTCCCCCGGCTCTGGTGGCCCTCCCAGAGTGCGGAATCGGGGCGGCCTCCGGCTCGGGGAGAACCCCGAAGAACCAGGGGTGGCTGGTTGCTCACGGGGTCTTCTGCTCTCCATGTCCAGGCCCTTCTGACGGCAGCTCCGTCTCTCGCCACCCCATCTCTAAAGCCCGCAGAGCTCCAGCCCAGGTTCAGCCTCACCACGGAGCTGTTTCTGCTGACCCTTTTGTCCTCCACGCCGCCTATCTGGGGCACAACTGGGTGGAAGGGAAGTTTTCCAGGGCAGGGCTGTCCCCAACGTCCCTGCGGTGCCTGGCTCGGCCTCAGGGCTGGCGAGCGCTGTTACAGCAGGAGCCTCTCGGTCCCTTTTTCTGCTCTTGGGCTAATACTGCAAATTTTGGTCCCTCTTTGGTCTCCCTCAGTGCTGTAGGTCCTTGGTGCTGGTCTAGATTGAGAAGAGGAGCACGATGAAGCCAACAGAGGCTCTTTGCACCAAGTGCCCACCACGGGCGGGTGGCCGTGAAGGAACTTAAGAAAGCAGAACATGTCAGCAGAGCTGTGGGGAACTCCCGCGTTGGCTCCGTGGGGCAGGTCGGGATGCATGGTCGGGGCGAGGAGACCACGTGTGGCTGGATCCCCCCAGGATCTACCTGGTGGATCCCCCCTGGCGGGGGTCACAGCACCCATGGAGCAGCCGATGGGGACCACAGTCCGTGGGGAGGGTAGAGGGTAGGGGTTGAGCTGCTGGAGAGCAGCTCCATGGAGAGGGACCTGGAGTCCTGGTGGACACCAAGGTGGCCAAGGAGGCCAAGGGGCTCCTGGCTGCACCAGGAGGACGTTGGCAGCAGGACAGGGAGGGGATCCTGATCCTGCTCCTCTGTTCAGCTCTGGGGAGGCCAAACCTGGAGCATTGGGGACAGCTCTGGGCTCCCCAGGACAAGAGGGATGTGGAGCTTCTAGAGAATGACAGAGATGAGGAAGGGCCTGGAGAGACCGAGTGAGCGGGGCCTGTTCAGCCTGGGGAAGAGGAGGCTGAGAGGGGACCTGGTCAATGTGTCCAAGCACCTGAGGGGACGATGGAGGGAGGAAGGGGCCGAGCTCTTCTCGGTGGTGGCCAGGGGCAGGCCAAGGGGCAGTGGGGACAAGGTGACACCCAGCAGGTCCCATCTCCACGGGAGGAAGAGCTGCTGCACTGGGAGGGTGCCCGAGCCCTGGCCCAGGCTGCCCAGGGAGGCTGCGGAGGCTCCTGCTCTGGGCATCTCCCCAAGCCGCCCGGGTGCCACCGGGTGCCCCGTGCTCTGGGTGTCCCTGTGGAGCAGGGGCTGCGCTGGGTGCCCTGGCTGGACTTCCCAGGCGGAGCCGCGGGAGAAGGGCGGCCTCCATGCTCCCTCTATAGCTGGGAATCTGTGTGTGCAGCACCCGGCACCTGGAAGCTCCGGCTCCGCGAGGGGCACCGGCTCCGACGGTTCCACAGGCTCCGCTCGGGGCCCTCGGAAGCCCCTTTTTCCGTTGCATTTTTGCACCTCCATGCGCAGGCTGCTCAGGTTCCCCTCCGCCTGCACCACCCTCCGGCACCCGATCCTAAAATGTTGGACCTGGCTAACATGGGGAAAAGGGAATTCAGAGGAAACCTGCCCCATGGGCACCCCTCTTGTATATATTAATGTATATATTAATCTATAATCTTGTATATATTTACAGCCCGCATGGAGCTCTCCAGCCCAGACTTTCCGCCTCACCAAATATTATTATTATCACTCCAAACCGCGTTGCCCAGGGGTCACCCTGTGTGTTTTGCCCCAAACAAGGGGTATTTATTCAGGTATTCTCCCCTCTCCTGCACCTCCCGCAGGCTTTTAACAGGCTTTCTTACCCCCTCGCTGCCGTTTCGACTGTTTGCTCTGAATTTAGGCTGGTCTTAAGGACCCAAACGCTCACCCAGCCCCATGGCACCGCATCTCGGCACCTCCCTCGCTGTTGGAGCCACTTTATTGCCCCAAAACGGTCGCGTCTCGGGGCCCCCTCGCCCCTAACCGCCCCCTTTCCGTTGGTGCCCGCAGCCTGGAATAGTGTCCCCTTTCAAGCGCGTCTTCCTGAAGGGCGAGAAGGGCCGCGACAAGAAGGCCCAGGAGAAGGTGACGGAGCGGCGGCCGCTCCACACCGTCGTGCTCTCCCTGCCCGACCGCGTCGAGCCTGACGTCCTGCTCAACGACTACATCGAGAAGGAAGTGAAGGTAACTCCTGCCTCGCCGGGGCTCCTCCGCCTCCTCCCTTTCCACTTCCTCCTCTCAGGGGTGTCCAAAAGAGGTTCCCCCTTTTTTTTTTTCCCTGCTGAAGACATTGCCACCACATCCCAAATTCACTCAAGAGCGTTGCTGTTTCCTGGGCGAGCAGCAGAGGCAGTGGGGAGTTGTTGGCTGGGAAACAGGGCTCCGTGGCCTCCGTTTTCCTTCCTGCCTCCGCTGGCCTCGCGCCTTTAGCTCCTCTAAACCTTTGGTGACACAGCCTGTGGGAAAGACGCTGCTCGGAGTCACTGTCCGGGCCTGATCCCAAGGGAGCTCTGTGTTTGTGGCACCTCCCTTCAGGTAGTGGTGGGAATGGATGGATAGACTAGTGTTAGACCTCCTTAAAAGCAGAGATCTTTCATCCTGAGGTGCTATCTCGAGCCTCCTAAGAGGGGCTGTGGACAAGGCCCTTTGCCCACCATCAGTGATGGTCTCCCACCCAGCAGCTCACGTGTGGGGGGGCCCTGCTTGATGCCTGATAACGCTTTGGGTTCTTCTCTCCCAGTATTTAGGCCAGCTGACGTCCATCCCCGGGTACCTGAACCCCTCGAGCCGCACCGAGATCCTGCACTTGATCGATAACGCCAAGGTGGGTGCGCGGCCCGTGGAAAGCCTCCTGAATGAGCGGCCGAGGACACGTTGCGGGGGGTCTTGAGGGATGTGGAGCTGCTAGATAAGGTCCATTGGAGAGTAACCAAGATGATGAAGGGACTGGAGCATCTGTCATACAAGGAGTGACTGAGCTGGGCCTGTTCAGCCTGGAGAAGAAAAGGTTGAGAGGGGATCTGATCAATATATATAAGTTCATGAAGGGGGAATGTAGGGAGGAAGGGGCCAAGCTCTTCTCGGTGGTGGCCAGGGGCAGGCCAAGGGGCAGTGGGGACAAGCTGACACCCAGCAGGTCCCATCTCCACGGGAGGAAGAGCTGCTGCACTGGGAGGTGCCCGAGCCCTGGCCCAGGCTGCCCAGGGAGGCTGCGGAGGCTCCTGCTCTGGGCATCTCCCCAAGCCGCCCGGGTGCCACCGGGTGCCCCGTGCTCTGGGTGTCCCTGTGGAGCAGGGGCTGCGCTGGGGGAGCTCCAGGGGTCCCTGCCAACCTCAACCCTTCTGGGATTCTGGGATCTAGAAGAGCTTCCCAGGGAGCTGCCTTCATCTGAGGTTACAGACCCGGCTGCACTGAGCTGGCTTCACACCCACCCCTCATCTTCATCACTTAATCAAAGGCTGTGGGTATTTATAAATAAATACTGTGCGTATTTACAGTTATCAGCAAACCCCAACAAACACAACAAGTGACTGGATGAAGGGGTGAGAGAGGAGGAGTCTCCTCCTGCTGAGAAGAGGAGCCTCCTCCCTGTTACCTGGCAGTTGCCAGAGGGGAAACAGTTGAGGTTTTAATGGGAATGTCCTTGTTTCAGAGGGCTCACCAGCTCCCAGGGCAGCTGACGCAAGAACATGACGCCGTGATCAGTCTGTCGGCCTATAACATCAAGCTGGTATGGAGGGATGGAGAAGACCTCATCCTCAGGGTGCCCATCCACGACATCGCGTCCGTCTCCTACATCCGGGACGACTCCTCTCACCTGGTGGTGCTGAAAACAGGTAGGTTGTGGCCAACGTGTGGGGCTGTAGCTGCCTGCTCGGGGATTGTGAGGACGAGAGCTAAGTCCTGCTCTCCTTGGCCTGCAGGGTGGTCAAAATGTCCACATGGAATCACTGTGGGGACACCCAGGGGCCTTGGGGGTCATCTCTCCATTCCCTTGGATTGCAGAAAGGAGTGGAGGGAGGAAGAGCAGGAGAGCAGGAGATGTTTGAGGGGCTCCTGCTGAAGAAGGCGGCCTGGGAATCTGTCCGCAGCAGCTCTGCACGTGCTAAACTTCAGTCATGGTTTTGGCTCAGGTGTTTGGGGAACGCTGAGCTGCTTAGGGAATACAACGACAGACTCATTGGATTATAAACCCCGTGACAGCCAAGGAGAGGCTGGAGAAGAAATGAGCAAGTGGCTCGCGAGGTTGTCGTTCCACTGCTGGCTTTTTGTGGCTCTCTGAGCCACGGAAAGAAGGCAGCGATTTACGGAGTTGTCAGAAACCTCCTCTAAATTACAGAGTCTTAATTGCAGGGCTTTGGCCTTGTGCAGTGCTCAGCGCTCCATGAATATTGTCCCAATGGAGCTCGTTTTTCCCCTCCTTGCCTGTCCCCGGGTGATTCCATTCACCTGGAAATTTGGGCTTTCAGTGCGCAGGAACCCCCAGAGCCGGGGGGGTTCTGGAGCTGGCCAGAGGGCAACTGGGCACTGAGGTGCGCTTCTCGTTTCTCCCCACCTCGACCTGCCCGTGACGGCTTCTGTGTTTCTCAGCTCAGGACCCCGGCATCTCGCCAAGCCAGAGCCTCAGTGCCGAGAGCTCCAAAGCGCTGACGTCGGGCTCGCTGTCCGAGAGCGGCGTCGTGCCCGTCGAAGCTTGTTGCTTGGTGGTCCTGGCTACGGAGAACAAGGTGAGACACAAACTGGCCGTCCCGCGTTGGGGTTGCCTCCGGAATCACCCGGGAATTGATGCCCGAGTGGGATTGCAGGGAGGTGTCAACTGGGCTGGCCACAACCTCTTAGGTTGGCACTGGAGAAGATGGGGCCAAGCTCTTCTCGGTGGTGGCCAGGGGCAGGCCAAGGGGCAGTGGGGACAAGGTGACACCCAGCAGGTCCCATCTCCACGGGAGGAAGAGCTGCTGCACTGGGAGGTGCCCGAGCCCTGGCCCAGGCTGCCCAGGGAGGCTGCGGAGGCTCCTGCTCTGGGCATCCCCCCAAGCCGCCCGGGTGCCACCGGGTGCCCCGTGCTCTGGGTGTCCCTGTGGAGCAGGGGCTGCGCTGGGGGAGCTCCAGAGGTCCCTGCCACCCTCAACTCTTTTGGGATTCTGGGAACCGGGAGCCCCAGGCTGGCCTATCCCATGACCCACAACTAGCACGCTCTGATGTTCACACCAGCTGTCCCCTCTGATGTCCACCTCCAGGTGTCCCCTCTCACACAAGCAGGAGGGTACCTGGCGCAGACCTAAGCCTGGTTGTGACAAGGAGGGTCTAGGACGTGGGGCAGGAGACAAGCCCTGCACTGCTAGGACAGCTCTTGGGGCAGCTCAGGAGGTGGTCGGTGCTCACATGCCTGTGGTGGAAGTGTCCATCAATGAAGACAACCACCTCTCTTCCACACAGGGCTGCCCAAGCTGCCCTCCTGGTGCAGACCCACAGACCTCTTTTCCACAGGAGCCAGAGATCTTTCTCTCTGCCCGTTTGTTCCCATTTCCACAGCAGGAGCCCTTTACCTTGAGAGGGGAGTTTCGTGCTCTCTATTTTCAGTTCCATTATCTTTAGCACTCCCAGGGGGGCCCGCAGCTATTTGGGATGTAGGTTGTCACAGAACAAACGTCCCAGGGCACAGAACCAAGGCAGGAGAGCAGGACAGAGCATGGGAACGAAATGTGGCTGCTATTTATTAGTTGTAAGTTGAGTGTTAGGGTGACGGGATTGATCGTTAGGGGGACGGAGCGGCTGTTGTCTCCAGGTGCTTGGGGGAAGAGCTCTGGGGTGTTTCCTGGCACTGTGGAAGGGTGATGGGCAGTGAGAGGCCCTACAAGTTCCTCTTCTTTTCCCTCTCCAGGTGACTGCAGAGGAGCTCTGCTCGCTTCTCAGCCAAGTCTTCCAGATCGTTTACACCGAGTCCACCATCGACTTCTTAGACAGGGCAATATTCGACGGGGCGTCCACGCCGACGCGGCACCTCTCCCTGCACAGCGGTGAGTCCTGCTCCTTGCCTACCTCAGCCTCTGCTGCCTGGGAGCCTTTCCCACCCGCACCCCTTGCCTCTCTTCCTGCCACCCTCCAAAAGGAAATCCAGGCAGGAACAGCCTGGCAGCCTGCAGGGTCATCCCTGTAGTCATTATGGACCGTGTTGCACGGCCAGAGCCATCAGCTCCATCCCCACATGGGACCTTCCTTTCAAATGAGTCCTGCCCCAGCGAGGGGCAGGAGACAGTGCAAAGCTGGGAGAAAAGAAGTCCCCTTTTCCCAGCTGTTTGGCTATGGGAAGCCTGAACACACGAGCTGTGGTTTCTGCTCCCGAGCCTCTGCCTTTCTCTATTCATCACGGGTGGGAGCAGTTAACAAAACGGGGCTTTGTCCCCACGTGGCTCTGCCCCTCTCCGTACCCAGCCCTGACACAGCGTCGCTCCCGCTCTGGCGCAGCCTAGCCTGGAGGCACTTTTTTTGTTCCAACACTGAATGCTGAGTCAGAAATCCCATGTGTGGAGCACACAGGCTAGGAAAAACGCTGCATTTCTGCCTCTCAAACCATATGTTTTCCACCTCTTCCTTGCAGATGACTCCTCTACCAAAGTGGACGTCAAGGAACCTTACGAAGCGGAAGAAAGTGGTTTGTAAGTTGAGAAAACCACTGTATAATGTGATAACTTGGCACTTTGGGGGTAACACCTTGTCCACAGAGCCTCACTGCCAGGTTTACAGCAGGAACTGCTGCAGTCTGCATATTGAAAAGCTTCTGATGAGCTTGCCCAAAATGTTTGACAGCATCATTTGTGCCTGTGTGCGGGTGCTGGGGGTCCTGCTTCCTCAGCAGCCCTTGCTGTATTGTGCTGTTAGCACAGTTTTCCAGGACAGCTCATCTATATCTATCTATATATATACACACACACATATATTTATAGATATTGTGTTCAGCCCCTCATGTGATGTGCCCAAACTTGGTCTGCCGTGGTAGAGACTGCCTAGTTGGAGAAAGGATTTCCCCATCTTTCCCAAAGCCCAGTACTTCGGGAACATTTTCCTCCTGAAGGCAGGAATGCCAAGAGCATTTTGGACTGAAAAACCTGACGCTTGAATTCTTTGAGCTTTTCAAATGTAAAAGCATTAAACCAGGTATTTTGGAATATGCCCACCACGTACATGCACAAAATCCCAGAGGAAGCAGTCAGAGGGAATCTTTTCCCACAGAGGGCTTCACTTCCAGCGAATTAAAGAACTAACAAAGGGGTGAAGCTGCCCCAGCTGCATTTCAGTCCTTCCTCTGGGTAAAGCTGCACTAAAGAGCAGCCTTTCCCACAGCAAGAGCGTGACCAGCCGCCCAGGCTGCCCTGTGCTGGGAGCAGTGGGGATGCAGCTGCTGGTGGAGGAGATCATCTCGTCTCACCCTCTCTTTACCCTTCAGTTCCTTTCCAGAAACCCTGGACGTCGATGACATCTCCCCCTCTTCTTTCTCCACACAACAGTCTCCTCACATTAAAACCGTCAGCGAGAGCGAGCTCAGCACCACGGCCACAGAGCTGCTCCAGGACTACATGATGACGGTAGGGGGGCCTCAGGGCAGCACCTCGGCCCTGGAAAGGACAGAGGGGCCTTTTCCCTCCAGGATGTTTGAGAGGGAACATCCTTGTGCTCCATGCTGGCTCCAACTGCACCCAAGCAGCAGTGGATATCCCCCTGGACACCATTCCCTGCAGGGTGCTCTAGGTTACCTCCACCAGCAGGGTCGAGTGGACTAAATGAGCTCCAAAGGTCCCTGCTGACCTGAATCATTCGGTTTGTCTGGTCCCTGCTGGTGATCTGGGCTTCTCATCTCCACTTACATAAGGTGACCTAACTGGAGCATCTCATGCTCCTTTTCGGAGCAGTTCTGCGCAGAACCACTCCAGGATCTGAACCTGCACAGCCACCCTCACCCTGTTATCCCATCTGGCTGCATGAAGGCCTGTCCCAGCACACACTGGGTTTGAGATCTGTCCCTTTGAGTTAGGGACTCACTCCCAGCTTGCCCAGTTTGAAAGCTGCCAGCTGAGTCACCCCAGCCTGTCCTGCTGGTTGGTTACTGCAGCTGCCGGCACTTGACTCTTGTCAAACAGCAATAAACCGAGTTGCCATAAGCCCATTTCCCCTCATCTCTTCTCCCTCCAACTTCAGAGTTGAAAACCCACTCCTAAAAATCAGTGACACTTGTGATGCTCTTCTCTTCCCCAGCTGCGGACGAAACTCTCTTCCCAAGAGATCCAGCAGTTCGCGATGCTCCTGCACGAGTATCGCAACGGCGCTTCGATACACGAGTTCTGCATCAACCTGAAGCAGCTCTACGGGGACAGCAGGAAGTTCCTGCTCTTAGGTGAGTTGCAGCTGCCAGGAATTCCACAGGGATAACAAACCGGAGAGTGGGAGCAGCCTCAGGCTGTTCCCAGCACCTGTTTGGGCTCTGACCAAGATCTCACCAGGACAACTCCCCTCACTCGGCATCCTCTGCTTGAGGGGGAGCCAAGCAAGGAGGAAGACCTTGATTCTTGCCTCCTTGGAGTCACCCTCTTCCTGAGGACAGTTCAGTCCCTCTAGTTCAACCCCCCACCCTAAGGCAGCTCAAGTTATCCCTAGGGATCTGTCCCAGCTGACTGCAGAGAGAGCAGAGACACTTGCCTCTGTGGTGATGCCTCCCTGCTGCCCCTCAGCACAGGAGGCCGAGGTGGAAAAATTGGGGGTTGTCTGGAGCCCTACATCAAATTACAAGTTAAAACAAGTTAAACTCCTCCAAGAGAGGCTAAAGAGGCAACAAGAAGCCACCCACCGGTGCCGGCTGAGCCCATGGCAGCAGGTGCTGGACAAGAAACCTCCTCTGGGCTCGGTGACGTCGCCTCCTGCTTAGATTAGCTCTCTTAAGCTGGGAACTTGCTTCCGTGGGGCTTATCCTGGTGACCTTGTGGGTCCCTTTGATCCAGGGCAGCTTCCAGCTGTTCCGGCCACCCTCAGGGCCATGCTGGCAGCGTGGAGGATGGTGCCAGGGCTGGAAGAGGAGCCAGATGTTCTCCTTGGGGTACTTTAATCGCGTGCTGATGCTGTTACCATAACAAGATCAGCAAAGCTGAGCAATAGGGGTCACGGAGGAGCAGCAAAGTCCTGATGGGCTCTGGAAATGCCACCTCAGCCCGGCCGCCTCTCTCAGGGGCATGAACGGGACACGTGGCCACGAGGTGGAGGCCCCAGGAGCCCTATGGGGCCACGGGGAGCAGGTAGGGCAGTGGTACCAGTGCAGCAGGTCCCCCTCAGCCACCTCGTTTCTCCATCCACCCGTTTCTTGAGCTTGGTCCCGAGAGCTGAGGCCAACACGGCAGCTGTTGGGGCCTCCTGCTTGGGCTGGAGCAGTTCAGAGGAGAAACCCTCCACAGAGCTCAGCACAAGGGAGCAAATACCCCTGCAAGGCGGTGCTGCCAGGGGCACCGCGGGTCACCACGCCGCTCACCTTCTCCTCCTCGTGTGTTTGCCTTCCCGGCGCAGGCCTCAGACCCTTCATCCCCGAGAAGGACAGCCAGCACTTCGAGAACTTCCTCGAGACCATCGGCGTGAAGGACGGCCGGGGCATCATCACGGACAGTTTTGGGAGGTACAGGCGGACGCTGAGCACCACCTCCAACTCCACCACCAACGGCAACGGAGCTGCGGGCAGCTCGGACGAGCAGTCCGTGCCCTCGGAAGAGGACGAGTGGGACCGAATGATCTCGCACATCAGCAACGACATCGAGGCCCTGGGCTGCAGCATGGACCGCGATTCCTCTTGAGGGGGAGCAGGGGGAGGAAGGACAGGGCGGCTCCGTCCTCTCCCTTCCGCTCTCCTGGAAGGAGACTCATCTTCGTGCCTGTCTTCCCGACCTCCATTCTGGAAGAGGGATTTTTCCCGGGATGGAGCAGGATGGCCCACGTTCCCGTGGCTTCGCTGGCCCAAAGGGCCCCCTCTTACTGTGAGGGGAGGAAGAGGAGGCCGTGGCGGCCGGAGGGTCTCGGCGCCAGCCCGGGTTACAGTTTGCACACGAGCTGCCCCCTGTAACCGCTCTCTTTCCCCCCTTTCAATGAAGTTGACCACAATGTGAATTTATTTAAACCCAACAGCGATGCCGGCGCCACAGGCGGGAGCCAAACCCGACGGTGGGTGACAGAGGGGACCTCCCGCCTGCCCCCACACACAGGGGGGCACTTGTGCCCCCCTCAGCCTCCTCCCGCTGTGCCCGGTCCCCATCCCCGTGCCGCGTGCCCCACACCGACGCCAGCACCTCCGCTTCCCGGAGCGGCGGCGCCGGGATCCCGGTGTCCGCCTGCCCTCCGGCGCCGGCAGCGGCGGGCGCTACAGCCACCCCTGTACAGGTTGTATATATTTTACAGGCCCTTATAAATACACCCCCTATTTTTGTAAGCCCCAGTGGAGGCCGGCGGCTCCGCACCCAGACACTGGCTCAGCAGTTGGCGCCAGGGACACCGGCCACATTCCTGGGTGCCGCCGCGGCCGCCTTTAACCCTTGCTCTTCCCGCAGCCTTTTCCCACCTCCCGGAGCCGGGATGCAGGGGGCACCACACCGCTAAACCCACTTCTTGCCAGAGGACCTTGGAAACTGAGCACAGAGCCCATCCCTGTTGTTTTCCCCCCGTCTTTTTCCCCTTAGGAATCCCAGCCGAGCGGTACCGGAGCGCCGGGAGCTCCGGCCCGCCCGGCGGAGCCGCCGCCGGTGGAGGCTTGAGCTGTTAGTGCCTTTTTCTCCATGTGCAGCTCAACAACAACCACACACATCTCCCGCCACAGACACACACACGCGGAGGGGCGGATCGAGTCATTGGAGATTTATGAAAACTTGGAAAAAAGAAAAGAATCCCTATTTTTGCAACGCTTGTATAACGAGAGCTATAAAAGAGAAGCCGGCGCCGCTCGCCCTATTTTTATCCTCGGCTCCCGGGGAAGGTCGGGGCTGCGACGGAGCCGTGGATTTGGGGGGGACGATGGGGGGGTCTTACCTGGGGTCCTGCCCGTGTCGGCACCGTTTGCACCTTCGCTTTCTGTACGGGGTCGGTGGTTAAATATAATCCTGCTCCCGGTGCCGGATCCTTCCCGAAGCCTCCGGGCGCTGCCAGGGGCTCTGGAGGCCCAGGGAGCCCGCGCCGCTCGTGCCCATCTATCCTGGCATTCCCACAGAAGGGACCCCCAGTCCACAGCCCCCCGTTGCCGCCCCGTCCCACCGCTCCCCATGGCAGAGCGGAGGCGCCGTGCGATCCAAGTGATACATGAGGCCGTTTATTGAGCGCTACAGTCGCGGGTGAGGAGGTGCCGGGGCCGGAGCGCGGGGAACGGGCGCCGAGGACCAGCGGGGCTTCTATACAGGGGACACGGGGTGGGACGCGGGCGCCGCCGCCTGCTACATGGTCAGCTCCTGCGGGAGACAGCGGCGTTAGGGACACCCCGTCGTGTCCCCGGGGTCCCCCCGCCGCGCGGGCGCTCACCATGATGGCGTTGACGATGTCGTTGTTGTTGTGCCGCAGCGCGCGCACCGCCTTGGGCCGCGACACGTTGGCCTGCGCCATGACCAGCTCGATGTCCCGCACCTCCAGCCCCGTCTCGTCCACCTGCGGGCGAGGCGGCCGTCACCTCCCGGCTCCCGGAGACCCCCCATCCCATCCCGAGGGCACCCACCTCCTCCTCCTCCTCGCTCTCCTCCTTGATGGTGAGGCTGGGCGCCGTCTCCGTGATGAGCGGCGAGTGCTCCATGGGCACCTTGAACTTCTCCGCCGCCGCCTTGTGCACTTGCTGCGACAGGTCCTCGATCTGCGGGGACACAGAGGGGACACGGGCTCGGCCCCGAGGGCCACCCGCCGGCCACCCGCCCCGGGGACGGGCGCCCGCCCCACCTTGGCTTCCCCGAAGACGATGTAGATGTCGGACGCGGGGCTCTTGAAGACGTCGGGCTTGGTGATGACGAAGAGGATGTTCTTGGACTTGCGGATGGTGATGCGGGTGACGCCGTGGATCTGCCGCAGCCCCAGCTTGGACATGGCCTGCGGAGGGGACACGTGGATGGGTGTCCACCAGCACGGTGCCTTGGCCCTTTGGTGGCCGTGGGCACCCCAGGGGGTGCTCCTGAATCCAGGTGAATGTAGGAACCGGCTCCCGGAGGCCCGGGACGAGGATGGAGGCCAGGGTGGGGTCCCGAGTAGTGGGTCCTGCTGCCATCCCAGCTCATGGTGACACCGGGAACCCCTCCAAGAGACCCCGGGCAGCGCCCTGCCGCCACCCCCATCCCGGGAGCCCTTCCAAGCGCCCGGGGACTTTAACGGAGCTAATCCCCGTGGGCAGCGCCCAACGGCGCCCGATTTAGCGCCCCTAATCCGGCGCCGGCCGCCGTGCCCTGCCCCGGCGCCCACCTTGCGGGCCTTCTTCTCGCTGCGGCTCTGCTTGGCCTTGCTGATGCTCTCCTCGCCGGCGCCCACCGCGTGGCCGAGCGGCGCCTGCGGGACGGGGATGGGGACAGGGATGGGAACGGGGATGGGGACAGGGATGGGAACGTGAGCGCCGCCGCCTCCAAGCTTCCTCGGAGCCCACGCGCTCCAGGTGACCCTGAGCGTGCAGGGCTTGGACTAGGTGACCTCGGGAGGTCCCTTCCCACCTTAACCGCTCCGGAATGCCTCACCTGGGTCTGCGCCGCCCGCGGCTCGGCGCCCTCGGCCTCCTCCAGCTCCGGGATGGAGTCCTCGTTGCTCTCCGAGTCGTTGCAGGAGCCTGCAGGGTAGCCGTGAGAGCCCTCCGAAAACCAAAACCGCACGAATCCGCCCCAAAAAAACCCACATGAACCCGCCCCGAAAGCGTGCCGGGGCGGCGGCGCCGCTCACCTTTGTGGTTGGGCTGTGCGCGCGGCGGCGGCGCGCGGGCCTC